CTGACCCTAGGGCAGATATCATCAGCACTATTGTCTTCCTGTGCCAATTAATAGCACTCACAGATTTGCATACTGTGCTGCGGTGGGCTCGGTACATCTGTAATCTAGATGATGATGTAAATAATCCATTATGTAGTCAAATCACACTCTGGGATGATGAGTTAACGCTGTCATTCTGATTAATCAAACACCTACTGCAGCCTGAGAACCCTCCAATAAGCCCACATATTCCCTAAGGTAATCTGCATGCACTTGTCAAGTTATACCTGAGGAATGAACCCTTTTCTTCTGTACTTGGATACATGATCAAATCAGCTTACTGACAATTGTTCTGCAGTTTTCAGGATATTAAAGAATAAAGTAGTTTAAGTACTTAACATGTAATAGAGTAGAAAGATGGGAACAAGTTAGTTAGCTAATATTTTAACATAGGCAGAAGGTTAAAGAGTAAGAGCTGGTCTCATGGTAAAACCCAGTTCTATTCTATAAACATTTAAGTATTTATATGAGTAGTTTTTAGCACAGAATAAAAGACCAGTGACGTGATTCCCTAAGATCTGATTTTCAAACTTTTTTCTATGAGTCGTTTCACCGACGCCTGCAATTAATTTCATTCATCCTCCGATGAGTTTCCTTTTCCTTTGTACATAATAATTGTGGGACAAACCTCACCACTAACTAGCAAACAAAAGAAAGAAAGGAAAAAGGAAAAAGCTGACTGCCTGACTAATGTGAGTGGGAAGTAAGTTACAAAGGATAATAAGCGCCTTTGTTTTTGCCTCTCTACTTTCCTACAACTTCTTTTCTTTTTCTTGTTCAGAGTAAGACAGGAGCACTTGAGGGTCCTGAAGTTGATGGCTTTGTCAAGGATATGATGGGCCTTGTCAGGGTAAGAGTCTGTTCTTTGGTCCACTTAATGTAATGTTTGTGCCAGTCAGAGTAGCACTTACCTGAAAATGCTGACATTAGCTTACAAAACATCATCCTACTGAAGACTATACCCCCCTCTGTTCTTCCACATCTCAGCGGTGGTCTATTGGATCAAGATCTGGTGACTGTGGAGGGCATTGAGTGCAGTGGACTCATTTTCATGTTCAAGAAAGCAGTTTGAGATGATATAAAAGGATTGGCACGGTCAGCAGTGATGCTCAATTGGTACTAAGGGGCCCAAAATGTGCCAAGAAAATTACACTACTACACCGCCACCAACAGTGTGAACCATCTGCCTGATGGCTCCATGTTTTCAAGTCACCAGATGAGGCAGTGTTTTACAACCCGTTTCATTTTGGCCAGCCTGTGCACATTAAAGCAAATGAAACAGGTGTGCCTAACAAAGTGGCCAGAGAATCTATCTGCTCAGTAAATGCTGGTGGCGAAATCATTCATCATCGTATGTAAACAAGATTAATCATCAGTCATTGCTCTCCCTGTTGTATCACCTATGTAACTGTAGCTTCATGCTGAATGAGGGAAATCATCTCTCTCCCCTCAACAGCAGAAATGAGAGTTGTTCCTATACAGCTTCACTGTTTTGTGTGTGACCTACATTACGTGTTATGGCGAGTCTGTAATGTTGTATTATCTATATGAAACAGATTTATCAGAGTCCCTACTTCCTGAATACAAAAACTGATCATGCTCATGCACACACACTGATGACACTTTGCTGTAAACAAAAAAATAACTCCTGTTTTCTACCCTTTTTAAAGGTGTTTTTCTTTAGTTACACAGATATTAATCTATAATATAAATAAATGCCTGTATGGCTCTAATAATGCAGAAACTGAATACAAAGAAGGGAAAGTCACCACATTAGTTGGAGATGAATTTGTACTTTTCTCCTCTGCAGCCTAATATCACGGGTCCTGAGCTGGACAAGCTGCGAGCCGTTCTGCTGCGTCACTGTGATGTCAACAAGGATGGAAAGATCCAAAGGAACGAGTTAGCTCTGTGTCTGGGAGTCAAGATGAAAAATTAGAGATCTGTACTGTACTAGTGGATTATGAAACAATGACGCTACGTGTGCTGTTTAATCGATAATAAATGATAGCTAGTGGAATGCTGTGTTATGCTCTAAGTCAAGTTGCTAAGTTATTAAAGGTCAGTATTCA